CATTATGTTCTTTCTTTTCCCTTTCATTTGATTACTTTGGGCTTAATTTGCTTTGTCTAGTTTTCCAAATTGAAACCTTAGATCATTCTATAGTTTTTCCTAATATGTGTTTAGTAATACAATTTTCTGTCTAAACCGTCCTTTTGCTGCATCCCATGAATTTTGATATGTTGCATTTTCATTTTCATTCATTTCAAAATATTTTATAATTTCCCTTGTGAATTTTCTTCTTGACCTATTGGTTATCTAGAATTATGTTGTTTAATTTCCACATACTTGGGGGTTTTCCAGATGTCTATTATTTATTTCTAATTTAACTTGTTGTGATCAAGTAACATAAATTTTAATTCTTTAAAATTTTTGACACTTTTATAGCCTACAATGTGCTCTATTTTTGTAAATGCTTTATCTGTACTTTAGAGCAATGTATATAGTCTGATGATAGGTAAAGTATTTCATAATATCAAGTCGAGGTGATGAATAGTGTTGTTTGAATCTTCTATATCCTTACTAATTTTCTAATTGTTCAATCAATTATTGAGAGATAATTGTTGAACTCTCTAATTATAGTAGTTGATTTGTCTTTTTCTTTTTTCAATTTTAACAGGTTTTGCTTCAAGAACTTTGAAGCTCTGTTAATTAGGATTATTATGCTCTCTGGATGAATCAATCCACTTATCGTTATTAATTTACTCTTTATCTTTCATAATATTCTTTGCTTTGAAATCTATTTAGTTGATATGAATAAAGACACTCCAAATTTCTTTTGATTTGCATTTGCAGGGCATATTATTGCCATCCTTTCACTTTTAACCTATCTGTATCTTTATACTTAAAATAGGTTTCTTAGCTGGATGCTGTGGCTCATGCCTGTAATCCCAGCATTTTGAGAGGCCAAGGCAGGAGGGTCACTTGACCCTAGGAGTTTGAGATCTGCCTGTGCAACACAGTGAGACCCTGTCTGTACAAAAAATTTTTTAAAAACTAGCCGGGTGTGCTGGTGTGCACCTGTGATCCTAGCTGCTTGAGAGGCTGAAACAGGAAGATCACTTGAACCCAGGAGGTTGAGCCTGCAATGAGTGGCGACTGCAGCAGTGCATTCCAGTCTGGGCAGCAGAGTGAGACCCAATTTCAAAAATATAAAAATGTAAATAGATAAAATTTTGTAAACACGTGGTGTGGTTTTGCGTTTTTATCAATCTTGACAGTCTCTTCTTTTAATTGGAATGTTTGGACAACTTAAGGTGACAATTGATATGGGTTAATATACATTATTTTGCTATTTGTTTTCTGTTTGTCCATTTGGTCTTATGCCCTTTTTTCTCTTTTCCTACCTTTAAAGTGAGGTTTTTAAAATTCCATATTTATCTCCTTTATTGGCTTGGTAGTTTTGTTCTTTTTTTAGTGGTTTAGGGTTTATAGTATATATCTTTAAATTGTCTCCTTCAGATGATACCACTTTATGTATAACATTAAAACTTTTCATTTTTCCCATGCCAGCCTTTTAGCTATTGTTATTATATATTTCACTTTTTAAATACATTGTAAACCCCACAATCCAATTCTTGGATTGGATATTAAAAATATCCAGTTTTTGTTATTTTTGCTTTATAGTCAATTATCTTTTAAAGATATTAAAAATGAGAAAAGTTTATGTTTACTCACCCATTTTCCATTCCAGTGTTCTTCATTCCAATGTATAAATTGGGGTTCAGCAAAGAGCCAAAAAATAAATCTTTTTAGCTTTGTAGGCCATATGATCTGTGGCAATTATTCAACTCTGCTGTTACAGCATGAAAACAGACAATAGGTAAATGAATGAGAGTAGCTGTGTTACAATAAAACTTTATAAAATCAAGTGGATTTGGTCCACAGGGCCAAAAAATTTTAATTTTTTTTCTGTCACCCTTCCCCCCGTTTTCTTGTAACTGCAGTTACACGTGTGGTAGACTGTTTGATGTTGTTCTATTGCTCACTGATACATTTCTTACTCAGACTTTTCTACTACTATGTCTCCGAGTGTACCAGTGGTCTTGTTCAGTTTCTAATTCAAAGTTTTTTTTGTTTTTGTTTTTGTTTTAAGACAGAGTCTCGCTTGGTCACCCAGGCTGGAGTGCAGTGGTGCACTTTCGGTTCACTGCAACCTCTGCCTCCCAAGTTCAAGCGATTCTTCCACCTCAGCCTCCTGAGTAGCTGAGATTACAGGCTTGAACCACTACATCCAGCTAATTTTTAAAATTCTAAAATAATGGATTATACCTTCTTTTTCTCTGAAATCTATGTTTTTAAGATCTAGAGACAGGGTTTCACTGTGTTGGCTAGACTGGTCTCGAACTCCTGACCTCAGGTGATCTGCCCGCCTCTGCCTCCCAAAAATGCTGGGATTACAGGCGTGAGCCATGGCACCTGGCCCAGTGTATTTTTCTTCTCTAGAGGTTTGACTTGGGTCTTTTTTATATCTTCCATTTTTTTCCACATTATAGTCATGTTTTCCTTTTTATCTTCTTGAATAGAGTGCTCTTTAAACAACTGTTATAATATCCATGTCTTATGATTCTATCATATATATAACTTTTGAATTCTGTGTCATTTCTGAATCTGTTTATATTGATTTTTTTTTCTCCTGATTATAGGTCTTATACATTCTTTGTATCTGGTAATTTTTTATTGAATGCCAGACACTGTGAATTTTACATTGTCGGCTTAATTTCTTTCTAAATTATTATTATACTTAAGTTCTGGGATACATGCGCAGAATATGCAGGTTTGTTACACAGGTTATACACGTGCCATAGTGGTTTACTGCACCCATCAACCTGTCATCTACATTAGGTATTTGTCTTAATGCTATCCCTCCCCTTGCCCCCTGCCCCCCGACAGGCCCCAATGTGTGATGTTCCCCTCCCTGTGCCCATGTTCTTATTGTTCAACTCCCACTTATGAGTGAGAACATGGGGTGTTTGGCTTTCTCTTCCTGTGTTAGCTGAGAATGATGGTTTCCAGCTTCATGCATGTCCCTGCAAAGGACATGAACTCATTCTTTTTTATGACTGCATAGTATTCCATGGTGTATATATGTGTTGGCTTAATTTCTTCCCTTTCTCCTTTTCTTCCTGTCTTTTTTTGGGGTGAGGAGATGCAGTTTAATTTCCCAATTTTTTTTTTTTCTTTCAGTGTTCCTTTTAGGTTTATTAGGCTAGTCTGGAAAAGCCTGTGGTCTAGGTCTGGTTTGGTTTGGCTTTGCTATTTAGGCAGTACCTAATACCTTCTGAGATTATTGATGGACTTGATGTTGCATGTGTTAGGATGTCTTTCCACTATGGCTGATGAGAACACAAACTGTTTTGTCCCAATGTAAGATCTAATGATTATTCTGCCTGCTCCTTTCTGGTAGTTTTTCCCTGGCCTTCGTAGTTTGCTCACACACACAGGAGTCAGATGACTACTCAGTCCAAGACTCAAGGAGACCTCTCAGCAGATCCTCAGTTTCTTCTCTGTCTCTCTGCAGCTGCCTCCTCTCTGGTACTTTATATCCACAAATTCTAGACGCCTAGCCTTTCTGAATCTTGAACTTTATCAACTCAGTAAGACTACCTGGTTCAATCTGGATTCCTCCTCCTCATACTACAGCCTGAAAAGTCTTTTCAGGCAGTGAGCTAAAGCACTTACAGATTGCCTTCTCTCAGGGGTCACTGTCCTGGGATGCTTGTTCAATGTCTGAAAGCTGTTTCATACATTTTGTCCAGTTTTCCAGTTGTGTAAGGCAAAAGAGTAAAATATTCTTGTCGAAAAACACCATGACTGAAAGCAGAAATTTTGCTACTCTTAAATTCTTTGGTCATGTGTTCCTGCTTTTCGTACCTTTTAATATCCGAGCTCACCTAAGACTTCCTGTAAAATCACATTATTTAATTAAATTATTCTTTTTCCTCTCTAGTAGACACTATAGTTTTATGATCAGAACTTCACTTTTTAGAATATGCTGTCAAATCCTCCTTGAACATCTCATCACAAAAGTGTAGAACATATACCACGCGTTACTCTGCTAGATGCTAAAAATGCAAAGATGAATTAAATAATGGATTATGCCTCCTTTTTCTCTGAATTTTTTGAAATCTATGTTTTTAAGATCTAGAACAATGCTATTCAAAACGTAGTCTACATACTGGTGCCAGTTTGAAGGGTTTGCAGCAGTGGACTACACTGTAAGGAGTTTATTCCAGAGTATTCAAGCAGCTACATTGCTGAACATGTGCTTAGCTCACCCAAATTTTTTTTTGTAAGCAGGACTTTCTTGAAGGAAGCAATGTGTTGGTTTAGATGCCAGAAAAAGCACCTTCTTTCATTGTAGGCAGGTAATAAGCGGTTTATAGACAAGCTACGAGTACACATCTGAGAGTGCTTAGCATCCCCTTCCTTGGCTGTTAGGAAATCTCAAGCATTGCAGTTCCAGCCAGTTTATTTAAAGGGTTATTTCTTCTTAATTAAAATGAATTACTTAGGCATTCATTTTATGGCTGATAACTGGTTTGGGGGACTTCTTAGCAACCACAGTCTACGATGGTTTTATTTTTATGCTGGCACAGACTTGGAATTGGAACAACTTTGGCAACAGAGAGAATGCATGTGGGACACCATTCAGCTTAGTGCTGGAAGGAAATAGAAGCACTTATGGGCTCTTCTCTGGGATTTCTATTATATCCAATTTATTTTTATGACATTCCTAGAAATAAAGCATCCCTTCCTTGTTCATAAGTATATTTTCCCTCTCTCACCTTCATCCCGACAAGATTTATTTTATCTCAATTCATGATTCCCCATTTCCTTTCCATTTGTTGACTGGTTTCTAAGTCTCATCTTCTCTGATTAACCATTGGTAATTGTCACTACCTAACAGAAAATGATTGTAATACCAATTAGTATAGAACTAGAATGGGGGAGAGAAGGCAGTAAGTATGAGAACCCCGTGAAAAGATGTTTGTGTACTCTTTCTTTTCCAGTGGAAAGCTCACCAGAGATCCTAAAGAATGAAGATTTTTCTAGCAGCCGTGCTGTTACAGTGTACAAAGACAAGAGCCAAGAATCCATGGACCAGCTGTCTTTGATTTTGTCTTATGAGTGCCAGATTTCTCAGAAGCTCTACATTCCTCGAAGTACAGCCACTGCTGCCTTAGGTGCTGCCGCACGGTTAGCTACATCCAGGAGCCTCCTACACTGGTACCCCAGTGTGAAAAGGATGGAAGCATGAGGGAGGGGAGGGAGGGAGAAAAACAGAATCCAGCCACTTAGGCCTTGATGAACTCCCAGGCCAAAATGAGGAGGTATTGAAGCAAAATCGTATCTCGATTGTTGATACTTTTGTCTTTCTGTGGCTATATGTTAGCTTTATTATGCTAACAGTCTACTTTGATGTGTAAGTATTGATATTTACTGTTAATCTTGATTTTTCTTGATTTTATTTTATTCTGTGTTGTTTTGTTCACCTTTGTTTTTAATGTAGTTTAAAGGAATTTGTTTTTTGTGTGTGTTTGTTTTTCTTGTACATTATCATGACTGATAAATGAAAATTGAAAAACTAATGTTTGTGATCCATATTTGGCAAGACAAAATAGCCTCACATTCCTATCTCCAGAAAAAAAGGATGTCTGACTCTTAGGGCTGCTTTCTAACTTGAAGTCTTCTATATCATAGAGCATCATCATGTCTTTGAAATATTGGGATCAATAAGAAAATCTACACCCTGAAGTTTTGGTCATATGAATACTTTTACATTTCAAAAAAATTAAGCTGTTTGCAGTAAAGGCAGTTTCTGAAATGTAGCTGAGCCATCTCTATAATTATCACAGTTTCCAAGAGCCTTAATGTAGCAGTCGTTCCACAGTGGCATTCTTTAAGCATTTATATAACATATTCTCTGAGGTCAAATTCTGTGAAATGTGATATGGTAGTCTGTTGAGCTCATAATATAAATCATCAAAAAAGACTGAAGGTAAAATTTTAAAATGTGAGTAATGCTAGTTAATTTTTTTTACCAGACTTATACCCAGATTTGAAAAATATTTTACTCACAGAATTAACCCCCAAAACAGAATCATTTCTTAGAAGTAAAATCTGAGAAAGAGATGTAAGTAGTGAGCTTGCTTCATGTAACAAGGTTCTCACCCACACAGCTGCTCTTCTAAGGTCTCCTTTTTTGGCATTAAATGACAGAGCTGGTCTCCTGGTTCCTCTCTCTTTTTCTACAATAAGGAATTTCTCCTCTTTCCTTCTCAACTACTTAATTAGCAAAGTATCCACTAAGGAAGGGGGTCGGAGCGGGGTAAATACAAAAATACATTCAGAGTATTATGATGAGACAAACCAAAAGTCTTTACTGATCATTTTCTGTTTAAAAGCCTTAGGGAAAACATGTTTAAATGTAGTACAATTTAAAAGCTCAGATTCACCTCTGATTCCAATATATCTGTAAGAATAATGTAAGGATACAGTAATTGACAAAGACAAAAGTAATCTGGAAACATCACTGATAGTTAATCCAACTGATGAAACAGTTTTGGGCTTTTGTGACTTTGTATCACACATCTTTATTGGAGAAGGCAGGTAGAGAGTTATATGGAGGGTCAGTGAACAGTTAAATATCATGTGATGGTTAAATATTATATATATGTGATGCTCAATTGGTATGAACTGGTGGAGCTGTTTTTCATATAATTTTAGATAATTAGACAAAATGTGTTTCAAAAGAAGAAAATTCATTGTGAAGTGCTGGCACTTTTGATTCTTCCTTTAAAGAAGCTGCCAAATCTGATATTATATTTTACTTTTCCAGGTGAACACTTCACTTAAACTGAGTTTGGGGCAAGATGAATCTGGTAGAAGCAATATGTCATAAGGGTTGATGGAAATACACATTTAGTAAGCTAAACTGTAACCTCCCTATAATAGCACCTAGATACCAGAAAGAAGTCTGCCAAAACTGGGTAGCCTTTTTGCAAGTTTGATAGTTGGTTTCATAATCTGACAGGGACTAATTTTACACCTTGCAAACTGGATGGGGATTATGAAATAACTGTGCTAAGGCTGTTTCAGAATCTCATTTGCCTGTGGCTGGATAGAGAATCATTTAGACAAAACTATCTCAAACTTCTTTCAAATGAGTGTCAACACACTTTGAAAGAAGCCTATTTAATAATCAATAATTAATACCTCATTTCAGTTGGTGTGAAGAAAGAGCCTTTGAGAGCCTTGTACATGTTGACTACTTGGCTTTGACTAGGATAGCCACCCTGTCAATCTGTTTACTTATTATACCTTCTCCCAAAAAGGTGGGCTTTGTCTAGTAGTTAACTAAACTGTCAGCAAAGAATCAAAGCAGATACATCATTTGAAAATGAGTAGATTTCTGTATATGGGCAGGAACAGTGATAAAGAAATGTACAAAAGATATGTAGATGCTATGTGTTTTAGAGTTAATTTTATTGTATTGTCAAAAGATGGGCTGACATCTATAACTCTGAACTGCTCCCTGCCCCACCCCCAACATTTTTGGTATTCAAGAGCTGTTTGCAGTAATGGAGGTCCCCAGTGAGTGTTGAATGGGAAGTGGCAGCCTGAGGTATGTGAAAGGAAACGAGTGAGAACATAAAGGAAAATCCTGGTGCTAAATTCCTTAGGGATGGAAGAGGGACTGGCTTTACTAAAAACGACTCTGGTTTCACCTCCAGTGGCTTGTAGCCAATACTACCCATCTCCCATCCAAAAATACCCCAAAAGCCTGGGGTGGGGGGGTGGCTCATGCCTGTAATCCTAGTACTTTAGGAGGCTTGGGTGGGTGGATCACTTAAGGCCAGGAGTTCGAGACCAGCCTGGCCAACCTGTTGAAACCCTGTCTCTACTAAAAATACAAAAATTAGCTGGACTTGGTGGCGTGTACCTGTTAGTCCCAACTACTCAGGAGGCTGAGGCATGAGAATCATTTGAACCCACAAGGCAGAGGTTGCAGTGAGCTGAGATTGCACCACTGCACTCCAGCCTGGGCAACAGAATGAAACTGTCTCCAAAAAAAACAACCCACGAGATATCAAAAGAGGAGCTATTCCAGCAGCAAGCAGCCTTTCCCCTCTAAATTTCATGTTTGAGATGTCAGTTGCCCATTTCAAGGCATGGGGAGTAACTAGAGGCTTCTGCCCACAATCAGCCTATGTCTAACCTAGAGACTTAGAATTACGGAGTTTTGATCTAGAAGGGAACTTACATGAGGAAATTTGAAGTCTAGAAAGATCTACTTGACAGCAGCCAGGGGTGGCTGGCAAGATGGCTGAATAGGAACAGCTTCGGTCTGCAGCTCCCAGCGAGATCAACACAAAAGGTTTGGGTGACTTCTGCATTTCCAACTGAGGTACCAGGATCATCTCATTGACACTGGTTAGACAGTGGATGCAGCCCACAGAGGGTGAGCCAAAGCAGGGGAGGGCATTGCCTCACCCAGTAAATGCAAGGGGTTGGGGATCTCCCCACTAGCCAAGGGAAGCCATGAGGGACTGTGCCATGAGGAATAGTGCATTCCAGCCCAGGTACTACCCTTTGCCAATGGTCTTCACAACCCACAGACCAGGAGATTCCCTTGGGTGCTTACACCACCAGGGCCCTGGGTTTCAAGCACAAAACTGGATGGCCATTTGGGCAGACAGCCAGCTGCAGGAGTTTTTTCATACCTCAGTGGTGCCTGGAACACCAGCAAGACAGAACCGATCACTCCCCTGGAAACGGGGCTGAAGCCAGGGAGCCAAGTGGTCTAGCTCAGTGGATCCCACCCCCACGGAACCCAGCAAACTGAGATTCACTGGCTTGAAATTATCACTGCCAGCACAGCAGTCTGAGCTTGAACTGGGATGCTTGAGCTTGGTGGGGGAGGGGCATCTGCCATTACTGAGGCTCAAGTAGATGTTTTTCCCCTCACAGTGTAAACAAAGCTGCCAGGAAGTTAGAACTGGTTGGAGCCCACCACAGCTAGGCAAAGCTGCTGTAGCCAGACTGCCTCTCTAGATTCCTCCTCTCTGGGCAGTGCATCTCTGAAAGAAAGGCAGCAGCCCCAGTCAGGGGCTTATAGAGAAAACTCCCATCTCCCTGGCACAGAGCACCTGGAGGAAGGGGCAGCTGCGGGCACAGCTTCAGCAGACTTAAATGTTCCTATCTGCCAGCTCTGAAGAGAGCAGCGGATCTCCCAGCACAGCGCTTGAGCTCTAAGGGACAGACTGCCTCCTGACTGGGAAACACCTCCCAGCAGGGGTCTACAGACACCCCATGTGGGAGAACTCCGGCTGGCATCTGGTGGGTGCCCCTCTGGGACAAAGCTTCTAGAGGAAGGAACAGGCAGCAATCTTTGCTCTTCTGCAGCCTTCACTGGTGATACCCAGGCAAACAGGGCCTAGAGTGGACCTCCAGCAGACCTGCAGCAGAGGGGCCTGACTGTTAGAAGACTAACAAACAGAAAGGAATAGCATCAACATCAACAAAAAGGACATCCACACAAAAACCCCATCTAAAGGTCACCAACATCAAAGGCCAAAGGTAGATAAATCCACAAAGATGAGGAAAAACCAGCTCAAAAAGGCTGAAAATTCCAAAAACCAGAACACCTCTTCTCCTCCAAAGGATCACAACAACTCTCCAGCAAGGGAACAAAACCGGACAGAGAATGAGTTTGATGAATTGACAGAAGTAGGCTTCAGAAGGTGGGTAATAACAAACTTCTCTGAACTAAAGGAGCATGTTCTAACTGCATGCAAGGAAGCAAAGAACCTTGAAAAAAGGTTAAACGAATTGCTAACTAGAATAACCAGTTTAGAGAAGAACATAAATGACCTGATGGAGCTGAAAAACACAGCATGAGAACTTCGTGAAGCACATACAAGTATCAATAGCCAAATTGATCAAGCAGAAGAATATCAGAGATTGAAGATCAACTTAATGAAATAAAGCAAGAAGACAAGATTAGAGAAAAAAGAATGAAAAGGAATGAACAAAGCCTCCAAGAAATATGGGATTATGTGAAAAGACCAAACCTACGTTTGATTGGTATACCTGAAAGTGACGGGGAGAATGGAACCAAGCTGGGAAACACTCTTCAGGATATTATCCAGGAGAACTTCCCCAACCTAACAAGACAGGCCAACATTCAAATTCAGGAAATGCAGAGAGCACCACAAAGATACTCCTCAAGAAGAGCAACCCCAAGACACATAATTGTCATATTCACCAAGGTTGAAATGAAGGAAAAAAGGGCAGCCAGAAAGAAAGGTCAAGTTACCCACAAAGGGAAGCCCATCAGACTATCACTCTCTGCAGAAACTCTACAAGCCAGAAGAGAGTGGGAGCCAACATTCAACATTCTTAAAGAAAAGAACTTTCAACCCAGAATTTCATATCCAGCCAAACTAAGCTTCATAAGCGAAGGAGAAATAAAATTCTTTACAGACAAGCAAATGCTGAGAGATTTTGTCACCACTGGGCCTGCCTTACAAGAGCTCCTGAGGGAAACACTAAATATGGAAAGGAAAAACTGGTAGCAGCCACATAC